GCCTAGCAGTGAAAGTCAGAACAAGGACAAATAAATATAAGTTAAATCCAGAGACATCCAGACATAAAATCAGGCATAGGCTCATGAGATACAGGTACAGGTACTCCTGTTGTCAGGATTCTTCCCGTGTGGAGACCCTTGAGGGGAGGCTGTCGCTTTTCTGGGAGTGATGCTTTAGTCCAGCCAAAGTTGTTGGGGTTTGGGTGAAGGTAGCACAGTGAAATTTTGCAGCCTGTCATGGAAGTCAAACTTACTGACCTAATGATCTAAGCTGTCATTAAACTTAATGGCTCCTGGAGAAATAATAAAGGCAGGAGTCTTTTAAAAACACATTGAAAAGAGATATTAAATGTTTATATGTAGATAGGTTAAATGCCTGTGGACTTTGTTCTTTTGATATTAGATATTGCTAAACCCTCTTTTGCCAGCCTGCCTGTGCAGCTGCTTAATAGGGAATCTGGGATAACACTGCTGTATACCTGGGAGGAACACTTTTTCCATTTTACATCATCTGTCCAAGTCTGTCGGAATGCATGGAGAGTTGGCTAATTAAGTCATTCATTCATTTGTTCTTATGAATGTATCCAGGATTGTCTCCATGACTTGGTGTCCTTTGATGGGCACCAAATGGGCTGTCAGAGCCTGGTGCCTTGCGGAAATGCTCATTTAGGTTATGAAAGAGCTTTGTGTTGAGGTGATAGTTTGGATCAAGTCTTTTGTGACATGAGGATGGTTGGACTGGGCTGTTCTCAGACCCAAGTTACATTTAGGTATCCTTCTGTAACACTGTATGTGCCACAATTTCAAACCCTTTTCCCATACACCAGTGTTTCCAGAAAGAGCTTTTGGGAGGGGGAGCAGCAAAAGGTGGTTTCTCAGTTGCTTTGTGCAACTCAGTAAAATCTTCAGAGAGGGAATAGGGTCTGGGTGCAATGTGTATTTTAACTCTCTGGAAACATCTCCTTTGTTTCACCTTCTCTTTCTCTTCCTTTTCCATATCTGACTATCAGCAGCTAATTCCCTGCTAGGGAACTGTGCGTCTGAATACACTCACATATGCTTTGTCTCATTTTTCCTGATGACTGTATCTTTGCCTTTCACTGTCTCCCATCCAGTAATCTTTCTTTCACTGTCTCTCTCTCTTTCTTTTGTGTGTGTGTTACTTTTCTCTTCTCTGAGCGCATTCATAATGCCTTAGCACCAGGCGCTCACATGATTGTCTCTTGTGTTGCATTCCTCAGGATGCGCAAGAGATGTTTTAAAACCCTTATCTCACTGTTTACAATAGCTTGGTGCTGCTGTTTAATAAATTATGGGGGTAATTGGTTTTTCAGAGTTCGCATCTACAGTGTATTACAGCAGGAAGGTAACTGTATATTTCTCAGCCATTTATCGCTCAGAAACACTTCATATAAAACACTGAAATAAATGTTTTAGTAGCACATGGATAACAAATTCAAGACAAATGTTTCATTGCAGATTTCTGCTGTGAGCATTCCCTGTAGGAATCAGTTTTTAAGGCCTGTTGCTGCAGCCTCCTTAAACAGCTCAAGAGAGTCCTGACTACTTCCTTGGGTTTTGTATTGCCCACATCTCATAGCGCTGAAGTCATCTGGTCCCCGTATGGTAGACAGTACAGTCTCACTCAGATACTTCTGCACAGCGTGTGTATCCCAGTAACCACAGTTGGCACAATGAAATTGGGCATCTTGTGAGCTGGAGCGTGGTATGAGAGCTGCCTTGACAAAGATGGCAGTGGAGAAGAGCAAAGGTGTACTGGGGGCTCCAGCGCAGCCCAAAGTCACGGTGGTGATCAGAAAGCTCTGCAAGGCTTATAAGCTTTTCATCACAGGTCAATATATGAAGAGAGACTACATCCCTCTCCCCAAAACTTAGCATCAGTTCATAATACGACCTTACTGTCCTGTGTATCATCCCTAGCAAGCCTGCCATGATTTTCTTCTGTCTCATGCTGTATCTACGGTTATATCCAGTCTGCACATGCATTCCTTCCCAAATTGTGTCCACACCTCTGATTCATTTCCCCCTGCCTTTCCTTCCTCAAGTCCATCTGAAATGGAGCCACTAAAATAAGTAGACCTATTCCGCATGCCTTCCCAAGTGAGACACTCTCCCAAAAGTCAAAGGGAACGTATCTCCCTAACAGAGGAGAGTCTGATCTGAGGCACTGAAGGTCACTTGATTGGTGTCCTGGCTGTACTCTTTTCTAGATACAGAGGGAAGACATACAGGGCGACTGTTAAGATTGTGCGGACGTCGGATCAGGTAGCGGACTTCTGCAGAAGAGTCTGTGCGAAGCTGGAGTGCTGCCCCAACTTGTTCAGTCCTGTGCTGGTGGCTGAAGTCTGCCCAGAGAACTGCTCCATTCATACTAAAACCAAGTACAGTGAGTATCGGCCAAAATGTGTCTTGTTGCCGGCCAGGAATCAGAGCAGTAGGAGACTGTCTGTGAACTAGTAATGAAGAACAGGAGTTGTGTAATACATGAATATTGAGTAGGATTCATCTCACCCAGGACTAGTTATTTAATCCTGACCAGGCCACCATAGGCTCCCATATTATTCTCTATGGAGAATTAGGCATCTCCAGGAAACTGTCCAGCTCACTCCATACTAATATCTGTTTGAAAGTCATTACTTCTTGGAAGTCTTCATTTCATCATATGTAAAGTTAATATAAGGAGCACATAAAAGGCACCTGCAGTGGCCATCTGAGATTTAAACTGCTACATCTGAGACAGATTCGTTAGGTGAGATGAGTCCTTTCCTACTCAGTGAAGAATTTCCAGCATATGCACCAGCACAGACCAGTATCACAATGCTGAGGTGCTGGAAGGAGTTTGGAAGCATTGACTCTCTGCTCAGTGTGTTTAATACTTAAACATATTCCTACCTGTTCAGGAAGGCTGAAATTAGGCATGTGTTCAACATCTTTTGTTGTCAATATTACTAATATTATGGGCTCTTAAACAGGTCAGGAAGGTGGAAGTGAGTGCTGTCCTTCCACAAAGGCTGCAAGAAACCAACATGATTGATTTAAACCAATTAGCTCCTGTTTGGCACCAGAGTAGAAGCAGAAATGGGCTTAGGGAGACACTCAGATCACTGAACGTGGGATTCTGTAGAAGTCTTCACCTGAGCTAGACTCCTTTGCTCCCACTGGTAGCAAACGGCAAGCTGGAGGAGCACAGCCAGGGGAGCTCCAGCTGAGATTGTCTCATCCCAACTTGATGGTTGTATGTGGCTGAATGAATTGTTCCTCAAAACTCCAAAAAGTGACGAACTTCGCCATGTGTGCCAAGTGCCATTTTAGTTGTCCCAGGATGCCCTAGCCATTGAAGGGCAGAGTATCTGTCAGCCCCAGAGGAGGCTGTAGAGCATGGTCAGAGGGTTCTTACAGCCTTTACTTCAACTTGGGCCACAAAATAGTCGAAGATCATAAAAACCCATTCTTTCGTACATTGAACAAACATACGTAATTCAGGATAGCTGGCCCTCTCTGCTGAAAACATTAGCAACTGGGAGGGTTTCTAAAGACTGCTAACTCATGCAGAGGGGCGAGGGATCAAGTCTGAAACATGCCAGCCTCTCTCCCTCCAAATCACTGCTCGGCTTAGTGGAAGCTTTGCCTAAGTATGTGTTGTAGGGTTAAAATATGAACTCCTCACTCATCACCAATAAATGTGTATACATAAGAGCTGTAACACTCTGTGCTAGTCCAAGATGACATCTTATATTTACACTGGACATTTTTTTCCAAATTAATAGGGATTAATTTTAAGGTTTCTTGTAAAAGTGCACCTAGAGTGCAGTACTGAATCAGTAGCAAGAAGCAAGCCAGTTTCCTTCTCTTGGTGGTTAAAGTTTTTAATGGGTGTTTTTCTTCTTTTCTCCAGCTTATTATTATGGTAAGAGGAAAAAAATCATTAAGCCACCAATTGGGGAAAATAACAACGTGAAAAGTGGGCATGTCAAGCCAGCCAGACGCAGAAAAAGGCGGAAATCCATCTTTGTGCAGAAGAAAAGGAGGTCGTCAGCTGTCGATTTGAATGCTGCAGGCTCTGCAGAGGTATGTGTCGCACTGGGATAAATCAGGAAAAGCCCTTTGGTGCTTCTTTGCCCTCCCCCTCGACCCATCTACGTCATCATTTTGAGGGAGTTCTCAGCAAATCTCAGCACTTCATTTTTCATTTTTAATCCTTCCTTGCTGTTCTGTTCTTCTAAGGCCAAACTTATTTTATTGGAACAATTTGGGGACTTTTACCCTTGTCCATTCTAGAGTTAGCAGGTAGTTTTTGCTTCCACCTTCATAATGCTCACTAGCTAATGTGCTGTCTAATGTTCTTTTTTTCCTTTTGCTTCCTTCTAAGCCTGTGGGCAGGCAGGTGAGCCTGCTGGACGCTTTGTGCAGCATCTAGCAGAGTGAAGGAGGTCTGTGATCCATGCCTAAGATCTCTAAATACTATAATAAATAAAAATAACTCTTAGGGCATTATGGTTTCAAGGGCTTTTACCTTTTCATTAAAAATTCATAATATTTTTGGTTCACAACATCAAACAATTGATGTTCTAGAAGCTTTAGAAAGCAAACAAAGTGGTTTGTGTCCCAAATATTTGGTATTTGAGGCCTCAGTCTTTTTAGTATGTGTGTGTTAGGATGGGATCCCAGCTTCTGCAGTGATTCACGTCCAGATACAACCTAGAGCAGACTTAATCTACGTGGACCATTCCCAGGTGGTTTTCCTGTGATAGTAATGGCAAGGTTCGTGTGTGGTTTCCCAATCCTCAGCTGAGTGCCAGTGATTGCTGCTTTGTGCAACGTGAAATAGAACTGATTTACTTAAATTCCCTCTACTTCAGCTGGAGGGGGGATATTTTAGTCAGCTTTCAGTTGATTGCTTGCATTTTCATGTCTTGGTCCTCATTTAGGTGCAATTCTGCTTCATTTCCTTAGATTATACCTGCTTCAAAGGAATTTAGACTGAAATAAACTCATGTTAAGCCTAAATCAACCATTAGCCAAGTTTTTCAACCTTTCAGCCAATGTAACTAACTTAGTCTAAAATTTCTCTTTCACTGAGCATATGTCTTGGATGCATGCTCACACTTTGATCAGAGCTAAGCTGTTGAAGACATTTGGGACACTTACGTATATATAAAGTTCAAAATACACCGTTTCCATCAGTTGGTGTGTGCTTGCAAGCCCTGTGTGACAGAAATAACAAGAATCTGGTATTAGATCCTTTAAATGGAAATTTGTGCTTCACCATCAGCAGTTAGGCTGAAAACAGGGAAATCTGGGTGAAATCCTCTGTCCTGGGTTTTACAGAAATGCCAGCTAAGAAATTAGGTACAAATATGCACTTGTACATCTAGATATTTTTAAAAGGCACCAAGTTTTCCTTCCTTTCAATACCAGTGACACCCATGACAATTTGAAGCAAGGTGAAGGTTTAAATTCAGGCCTATTTGTGACTTTATTTAATTTCACGGAACCTGACTCGTTCTATCCTTTTAGTACTTTCCATTTCCCCTTCTCATGCGCTTCTGCAGTGGCACAAGGATTGAGATGCAGGCCCAAGAGAGGAATCTTTCATGCCAGATGAGTTATTGCTGTTGACCTTTTATAAGAAACAGAAAAAGGATTTGTCCACCGTGTATTTTTTCCGTCTACATTTTGTAACAAATCTAAATTGAGGGCTAATCCACTTAGCACTGTAATGAAAATGAGATAATTCGGTTAAAATAAATGTTACCCTGGACCTGCATGGGCATGGGCATGCAGTTTGACCCCGTGCCTTTCGATTTGCTGCCGTATTAATCTCCGAGCCTGGATGCTGTTTCTCCAATGGTCCTTGTGTAGGAGAGCGAAGATGATGAGCCGGACGTGATGGAGGATGAGACGGGAAGCGAAGAAACCAGCTCAGAGCTCCGGGATGACCAGACAGATACCTCCTCTGCCGAGGTCCCCTCTACCAGGCCCCGGCGAGCAGTCACCTTGCGGAGCAGCACCGAGTCAGACCGACCTCCTCCCACGGAGAGAGCCCGACGGAACCGGAGGTCCCAGCCCCACTCCTACCGTGAGGCGGAGAAGCGCATGCAAGTCAAGGAAGTGAGTATGCCTGTAGGTGTTCACTCCCAATTAATAGCAATATTCTTCCTAAATTAACCTTCAGTGCCAAGCCTTCCTCATCTGAGGAGGGCATCCTTGCCCTGGTTCTCCACAGAAGGCAGATTTTGGGTATTTTTGTAGGAAATTAAGCAAGAAGAGGAAGAGAAGCTCATCCTGGACAGTAATCCATTGGAGTGGACTGTGACTGATGTCGTGAGGTTTATTAAACTGACTGACTGTGCACCCCTCGCCAAAATATTTCAGGAGCAGGTACATGTCTTCGTGTAATGTTTCTCTTTGTGTCTGCGGTGCTTATACACATCACGAGAATCAAAAAGCAGCACATTTCACCTTGCTAGCTGGGCCCTGAGATTTGATAAAGAGATTATGATCAGGCTTTAGATCCCCCCAGGCCAAGCTATAGCACAAATTTTGGCAAGGCATGGAAGCCCTTGGAAACTGGAGTTAGAGCCTTGCCAAATCCTCAGGGAGACCAGGAACATTCCAGCCATAGTGCTTGTGAAAAGCAGGAGGTTTAGATATTTCTTGTTCATGCCGAGGTCCACAGCACCATCCCGGTGTCACACAGGCACCTCAGTGTACCAATACTTGGTACCTAACAAGCTGTCTGTAATGGCCATGTGAGTTCCACGCTGTTTTAAAATATCAGCCTGGGAAGAGGAAAAAGCTGCTGCTTGAACCCAAAACTGGCTGTCTGAACTTTGGCACCAACACCTAGATGCTCCAAGTATGTAGACAACTACTTCCCATCTTCATCCCTCTGAAGTTCTGGCAGTCAGGCCCTTGGATGACCTAATTTTAGGAGATGCCAAGCATTTCCCCATTGAGATAGGTTTGCAGAAGCCAATGCTTTTCATGTCAAGTCAGTGTGAACGTGCAAAATTTATATAGAAACAGTCATTCCTTGGCTAATGAGTAACAGCCACTGCTGAAAGTAAAGAGCACTGCTAAGAAATCATAGAAAGAAGCAATTATGGTTAATTAGGCCATAGCCAATGGCAGTCAGTGGTACGGCCAACTGCACATTGAACTATCTCTGATTCTTCACCATGAATAACTCCGTACCTGAGTACAGCTGCTTTGACTGGCAGAAGTTGAAGTGCAAGTCTGGAGCAAGGCTGAAACACTCCATGGCGAGGTGCTGTAGTCGCTGCATCGCAGCGTGCTCCAACTATTTGTTAATCAGACTGGAATAATGCCAGGGCTTGAAAGCCAACCCCATCCCGCCTTTGCCAAAGAGTTTTATGGGGAGTTTAATCAAACACAGATGACTGTGACTTTTCCTTGTGATTTGCGAGGAAGCTCTGGTGCAATGGGCCATGCCATCAAGCTTCAGAGGTGGAATAACCTGAGCCGTGGACAGTCCTGATCAAAGTAGTTCTTAAGGTGTCCAAATCAAATCCTCCATGTGATTATTGCTGCCTAATCAGGGCCATCCCAGGGCGTTTAAGTTGCCTATGACTTAATGTGTTTTCTGCACTTAGACTCTGATCCTCCCTGCGAGGTAAAAAGCAGCTTGGTACCTTGCTTGTCTGCTTCTCAGTCCATTAAAGAATAAAAAGGACTTGAGCTCTTAATTAAGAAGAGGATCATAAAACTAACAGAAATGCCTAATAAAAAGGCTGCTTTGGTTTGGTTTTTTCCCCCCCTGGGGTGCTAGTTCATGGAGTTTGCTGCATAAATACGCCTGAGGGAAGGATGTGACCTCCCGAGGTCCCTTCCAGCCTATGCCACTCTGGGACATTAGGGAGTGCAAGGGCTCTATGTGGTCCAGACCCTTCTGTCTTGGTTGTTCAGCAGCTGAAATGGAACAAGGCAGGTCCTGGGTGGACCAGGGGACATGGCATGGGGTAATGCAGTCATAAACTTGTGCTGAGCGAATCATGGGCCAAAAGAGTAGGAGAGGGGTCTGACTTGGCAGGGGGACTGGCTTCAGTTTCTGCATTCAGCTCCCTCCTGGGTCTCCTGATGTGCTCTCTGCAGCCTCCCCTTTGCCTCAGTTTCTCAGTCTGGGACCAATCAGATCTCCGTGGACCCTGCAGAGTTTCTGTAGAAAGTGATCCAGCATTTCAGCAGCTGGGAGGCTTTTCCTAAACTGGGGGCAAGGTGAGAGCCTATGAAGACACACTAGACAACTTCTGAAAAAGTGTGTGGTATCCCAGGGAGATGGGCAACATCAGAGTGGGAGGAAAGGGCAGAGGACAAAAACACCTTTAATTTTTAGGGCAAACTTCCCTTCTTTCTTCTCCAGACCTAGTTATGCTTTCTGTCCTCCAGAATCCAGAAACAAAACCATTTTCCCTGTCTTTTTCTTCCCCAGGACATCGATGGCCAAGCCCTTCTGTTGCTGACACTGCCCACGGTGCAGGAATGTATGGAGCTGAAGCTAGGTCCAGCCATCAAACTGTGTCACCAGATCGAGCGAGTAAAAGTTGCTTTCTATGCACAATACGCCAACTGACTGCACTCCTCCATTTCTTTCTGTTCTCCTTCTCGTTCCCTCTCTTTTTTAACATTTCACCTTGTTCAAAGTTCGGTGGGTTTTTTTCCCTATCCATTTTCTTTTCCAAGAACACTTGGAATTGGAAGCACTGGAAATTAATCTGTAGGGAAGGAAAAAAACCAACCCACAACAGAAAACTAGCAACAAATTGAACGAACTTTTCTGTACTTGTAAAGCACACTGAAAGACTGCTGGCATCTCTCCTCATGACCCTCACCAACCTGTTACACCGTGGTGCAAGGATAGTTTTGTTCCTTAAGACAAAGCTGCCAATGGCAGATGCATTCCCAAGGAGAAGGATCGGACATTTCCAGATGATGATGGTTTGTCTAGGTCAATTTCTGGACATGAACATTTCTTTCAGCCAACTCTGACACACTTCTTTCATATTGAAAAGTAAGTGATCATTTGTAGCAGTAACTGGGGTTTACTGCAAATTTGATCTTAGTGATCAATGGGCTTTTTTTCTCCCACCTCTCCAGTCTTACAAAAGGAAAAAGTGCTATACCAGTCGTACACATTTCCTGAATGATTTTTGGAAGAGGATCCAACCCATGGTCTTTGTACTGTATTGGACAAAGCTGCAGTGAACTGATGGGTACAACAAGACCTGGTGCGCAGTAATGCCTCCTGAGCCGTGCTGGCTGTGCACGAGAAGCAGAATGTCTCTGTGATGGGATCTATACAGTACTGCATTCTTGTAAAGGAACATGCATGAAAGCTTTCGTACACAAGCCCATCCTCTTAAATCCATGTCACTTTAAAGGCCTGACTTTGAGCCCCATGGGGTGAAAAAAAAGGTTATTCAGATTTAATGATGAGACTTTTGAGTGAATGCTGGCTTCATTTGAACCTTCATGAATCTGGTTGCCAGGTGGGAATAAAAAGCATCAGTGTTTTCAGGCTGCGTATGCCACGGTGCTTCAGAGCAGCTGAGGATCTGGTCCAATGCGTATTGTATGTGGAGCCTCCAGATTGTCCCAGTGCTATCCTGGCTAGTGAAACGGGGAGCTTGCTTCATGCCAAGCAGGGTAAGCTTCAGAGAGGATGAAGAAATGGGTCAGACACCTTGGATTTGCCTCAGTTGTTTTTACAGGAGTAAATACATTTCCCATTTACTTTGCAGGGATGTATGAGCCCATTAGTTCCATGTGCTGAGCCTGAATTTGCTGTAACTCAGCAGAGGTTGGCGGCATCACATTGGTGTAAAATTCTCCCAAACTCAAGACCCAAACTGGGACCAAGTCTGAATTTTGCTGTGGACTTTAAGGTGCAAGTGAATCCCTCACTCAAAAAATGAGTTGGATGGTTTGTGCTGAGTTTTAGCCTGATTTAATAGGAAACCACTGACTTCAGCAGACTTTTGTTCTCAAACCAGAAACAGGCCCTTGTTCCCTAGCCTCGGGGAACTCAGCTTGGAAATTGTACACAGCTCTGTTACAGTGCTGTGATGCCAAAGCCCGCTCACTGAAGAACTCTGCAAAAAGAAATGCCATTTCTAGCCCTAAATCTGAAGGCAGTGCTTATGGCCAGATAACACCCACCTCAAGCACTCACCATAGGGTGACAGCAAGCTTGGATCAGGTAATCCTGCTGACCACCGTGTGCTCAGAAAAACATACTGACCAACACCAGGCTATAGCTGCTGCTTTCTCCTTCATCAGTTTCCTCCTTAAATTCATTGGATTAAAGAAGCAAAGCCTCAGAAATAAATATTCTGGACTACATCCGCATCTGCCCTAGAGCATGTGTTATCAAGACTCCCTTTGTCATGCATCACTGTGGACCTTTTAGTCTGTCTTTCAGCAAGTTTTCTCATTTGCCACCAAGGAACGTGGTGGGGGCAGCCACTGCAGGCTGGGCCAAATCCTGCCCACTCCTGAGGCTTCATCAAGAATTTTCTTACATGGGAGATGAGCAGGACTGGATCTGTTTTCAGATGTTGTCTTGTATGGAAGTTCTTGTTCAAGTTTTAATTGATTGAAGGGAAGAGAAGTAGTCTCCTCTCCATCAAATGTTTTCCTTTTGTTTCTCCGGAATCCAGGAATAGGGTTTTGTAGTGGTGCAGATATCAAAAAACTGTGTTTTAGACTGGATGTGTTGTCCATGGAACTGGTTTTATTACTGCTTTGGATCCCTCTTAGGGGTCCTTAAAAATCAGAGTCCTTGTTTTGTCTCAGAAGACAAAAGGATTGTGCCCAGAGAAATGAGAGCACAAGTGAGAAAAACAAGGAGGGTGCTTCTCCCAGCTCCTCACTTCAGCCCAGTCCTTCGATGGCTGGTGTGACACTTGTCAGCAGGAGATCACTCCCAGAAGACTGCTGTCAGGAGAACCAGCGCAGAAGGACATTTCCAGGAAGGGAAGCAGAATGGCTGTTTGATAAACAGTATCTCAGCACTGATCCTTCGCTTGACACATCAACCTTCTTCAAAGCATCCTTTGCTGCGCTGATGTTCTTGGAGTTTCTGGCCACTGGGATTTGTCAGAGACATTAATGCTTTCTGGGACACGTTGCAAAAATGGCTTTCTCCATCATCCTTGTAACTGTAGATATTCCTATGGCAGCTAACTACTCATGGAGGCATGGTCGGGGCGCAGACAGCTGCAGACTCTGAGAGCAACCAGCTCTGATGTTGGTCAAGCAGGGGATGGGTGAAGCATTGAGCCCAGCACATGGGAGTTTTTACTGATTGTTCAGGGAGGTTAAATCGTATTTAAAACTCACATATTAAACAAAAAAAGAGTTTTAATTTTAGCTTGCGATGGCTCTTTTATTTCCTCAGGTTCCTGTCTCCTCACCATTTGTCTTTCAGTTTGTTGTTCTTCAGTGTTGTCTCGTTTATCACTCTGTCCCTTCAGCAAAGATGATAACCTGACATGTTTGTCCTAAAATTACCTTGGGTAGTAAATGCTTTATTACTTCTTTTAGCCTGAAGGTTGGGAAGAAATAGGAGATTGGGCTACTGTTATCTGTTGCACTGATTGCCTCCCAGAAAAGCTGGAGCTGAACCTCTTAGACAATTTCTTAAGCAAGTGGAAAATGAACTGTGCATAGCTTAATTGGACAGTATGCTTGGATTGTCACTTACAGCTTGAGCAGAGATCAGAAGGAACTATTTACTCTGGCCTGGACTTCATTTCAATTCTGGAACATTAGCAAGGCTTTGGAGTAATGTACTTCAAAGGAGATGATGGAAACCTGATCTTGTTAGGGTAAAATATCACTTTACTTTGCTATGTAGAAGTATAAGCCACTGGAGGTTTTTTTTTTTTTTTTTGGTCCAGCCCCAGTTCTGAGTCAAATTCAGAGCTGGTACAGCTTCACGGATAAACCAGTGACATTGGTGAAGCCACATCTTCTCCCACCCCATTCTGAATTTGGCACCCAGGCCTGGTGTTTATTGTGTTATCAGCTACAGAAGGCCACCACTACTGAATTCATGATTATCCAGGACCATTACCAAGGGCTGAGGAGCAACCTCAGTGTTGCTTTTGGGCTGTTGGATGCTGAACTTCAGCACATTCACACAGACCACTTTGCTCCCACAAAAAGGGTGTGCAGGCATCTCTTGTTGGCCTCTCTTCAGGCATAGGACCAAAGATGGGCATTTCTGGAGAAAAAGTAGGGAGCTGAAGGGTGCACGGTACCTGCCCATCTTCTTCTGCACTGGCTTCTTCTGAGCTTGCACTCAGGTTGAACAGATCCGTGGGCAAGTCCCTGCTCCCTTCCCAACCCCCTCAGCACTTACCTTGGCAGAATCAGCCAATTCCCAGTCTGCAGGCCAAAAACACCAGTCTTTGAAATTGGATTAAAGCATTAACTTAGGGGACTGTCCATGCTTCTCTGCTGGTTGTCCTGCCTTCCTTCTGCTGTAATAAACGCTCCTCACCTTGAAGAAAAATGCTCTCCTTGGCTCTTTCCAGCTTGAAACCACAGCTCCCATCCACAGTCCATTTTTTTCCTTAATGCCAGGATGACCAAACCCTGTCTTTTTCTACCTCTGAGAAGCGTGATGGCTTCTCAGCTCTGGGGAGGATTGCAGGGTCTCCAGCTTCACCATGTTAACCATATGCAATAGCCCAAGTTCGTTTGGTCCTGCCGGGTGCGGAACAGCTCCTGAAATTGCTGCATGCCCTCAGTAGCCACTGAAACCAGGGCAGATGGTTACACACCCTGTCCTCAGTGAAGCATCTAGCAGATGCATGTCCCAGCTGAGATGGCCTGACCCACACTGTCAGAGGTATTTGAATGTCTGCTAGGGTTTACAAAGTTTCTAAGTTAGACACCTAAAACCCATTTCACTCTGGGTAACAGCTAATTTGCCTTAAACCGGACTGTCACCATGCTTTGGTTTTAACCTTAAGCCTTTTGCCATCTCCAGCGTGGAGCAAACACCACCTCAGCTCTTTCAAGGCCAACCCAGGCACTGTTGTGCTGCCATAATCAACATTTGGACACCTGGAAAGCCTGCCTTGGCCTTTCCAGGGCATAAAATTGAATTTGGCAGAGCTGCAGTGCCATCTCAGTGTTTTAGAAGCTTGATACCATCAGGACACTTCAAATACTTTTTGCTTTTCTGGTGCGATATGTCTGAAAAATGGTGAACTCAAGACTGTTCCTCCCATTTCCAAATTCAAGTGCCAAAAGAGAAGAACATGCTGCAACTGAACACCATTAAAACCAGCTTTATTACATGTGGATAAGTATCGTCTCAAGGGCTCCGTTTCGGTGCTATGTCACGCTGTATTTTCCATTGCTTGGGATTACAAAGCTGATTCCATATTCCAAGAAATATTTTCTGTAATCAGCAACGTCTTAAGCATTAGGATTTTTTTTTTCCCATGTGGCTGCAGATTTTTAACACAGAGACATGCAACAAATAAACTGCCCCCGCTCAATCATTTGAGTTTTGAAGTTTTATACAGTATATTTATGTAAAAACAGTTTCAAAATATG